CGTGCAGCCCGACATCCGTTCGCCCACCGCGCCGAACGGCCAGAGGCATGAGCCATATCATAGTAGTATATACCCCACCGTCGCCGCTTCCTCCAGCAGGCTCAAGCTTCCATTCACGCGCGGAAGGAAGGTGTTCGCTTCGGCGTCTGCATCCGGTGCATCTGGATCTGTCATCTCTCTCAACACGAGCAATGATGTACTTGCCCCCCCGCCCGTGCCGAACTACATTTCACGGCGTAGCACCACTGGTGTATCTGATGTGGCTTCGGAAGAGCTCACCCCTCCACGAAAATCAGCCATCTTCCGACGCTACGGAGATTCTCACAATCTCTCCACACGCTCTTTACCCAGCGATGGGCCACCGCGAGGCTCTCAGCTCTCAGCTTCTTCTACACCCACGCCAAAAAAGATTTCTCTGTTCCATTGGTCGAAATCGGCACCTTCATCGGCCTTCAAGGTCGCCTCTGCCAAATCCAAATCCGATACCCCGCCGCAGTTAGATTTGCCTGAACCTTCTTCGTCCTTTAATCTGAAGTCTTTTCGACATCTTGGCCCTCCTTCTTCCGCAACCTCATCTTCCTCTGTTATCTCTACACCGTCACCTGCGGTGCCTCTTTCACGGCCTCGCAATCTAAGCGTCGCGTCGGACTCTTCACAGCGCATCTCTGTCGCAGCGTTCCGGGAAGCTCAAGCCCGACGTAGCATGGCTGGCTCGCCTTCACCCTCCTTCAGGTCACCTAGTCCTGGTCCAGGTAATATGACTCGTGGTACGCTAAACACCAATGAACGGCCGATGCTCTCTCAGTCGCCTAGGTCAAATAGAGCTTACTCACGACCTGTGGCTAACAGTGGCACTTCACCTGTCCAGTCAATACCCAGAAGGTCGTTTTCCCCTTATCGCTCTGAGTCCGAAGAATCTGCGGATGACGAGTCGCAGGAAGATGACAGCAGCGATTCTGCCATCCACGCTCTGGGGCGTAAACGAACTATCACTCAACGAAGGCCAGGACTATTAGGCGGCAAGTCGGTTTCTGAGAATGACCACGGCTTTCCTCTTTCAAATCCATCTCGTGTGCGGCCAGGCTTTGCACCGCCGCCCAGGTCACAGTCTGTCATGCTCAATGATGTGGAAGTCAAGGAACAGGCGAGGTCGTCAGCTACTCCACGTTCATCATCAAGTCTAGGTACCTATCAGCAAGGACCTCGTCAACGTGCCAGTGTTTCCACAAGCGCTCTTTCGCCGAATGCTGCTGCCAAGCGTGCGAGTATTATTGCACAGCGGACTTCCGGTTCGTTTTTCGTTCGCTTGTGTTTATCATCCCTCACGTCCCTCAGATGGCCCGGGTTCACATCATAGGCGGTCGTCTACAGTTACCGACTTGCAGTCAGCTATCGCACAGCGCAAAACTGACTCGGGCTCGGAATCTGATGATTCGGATGACATGCCTCTGGCGAAACTGCGGCCGCCTATGCGTCCGAGCAGCGCGGCTTCGACCAGCTCAAGGGGGAGTCTCAACACGCGCAAGCCATTGCTTGACATCAATGAGATCACGAGTCGAAAGCCGGAGACGGCAGTGCGACGGACCACCAACGATGAAGCATTTACGAGTCAAGGCACACTTCTGTCTGGATCCCGGACGGTGGTAGGCGATGTAAAGCGTGCGCACCTATCTCTTAGCGGAGACAGCGGACCGTCGATACCTCTTAAATTTGTGTCACCATCATCGTCCCCCACTAAAACCTCCATTACGCTTCCAGCTCATGCGAATACATGGGAGGTGGGTTCGTCGAATGCTGCGACAGCCATGCCTGCGTCAACGGCACGCGCCGCTGCCCGGCAACCACTGCGGCGATTCATTGACCAACCCTCGGCGCCAGAATCTAACAGTGGAAGGGAGCCACTAACTACGCGGCTAACACGCGTGTTTCAGAATCCCGCTTCGACGTCAGACGATGAGTCCAGTTCGTCGAGCTCTAGCAGCGAGGAGCAGGAGTCATCACGGCCGAAGCATGAAAGCCAAACCACAGTCGTTGCGCGGCCTGCATCTGAGCAGCGCAAGTCAACGAGTGATGCGAAGACGATGCACAAGCCTGCTGTGTTCCCTTCCGCTAGTACTGCAACTGACAGCGATGTTGATGAATATCTTCTGGCGGCTTTGGGCGGCGGTGTCCGGTTAATCACCCGTTATGGCGAGGACGAAGCCGCCTCGCCTGCCGCTAAAAAGAGTGGGAGGACTCCATCCTTGTCGGATTTACGTTCGGAAGAAGCCTCTCCTGGTTCTGCGCAACCTGTGACCAACACTGCCACTGCCACTACTATTGTAGCTACATCCCCCCTTCCGATCCCCCCCATTCCCATCAAGCGTCGCATGCCTGCGCCGTCTTTTTCAGTGACCTCCCGACCGCGGAGTATGACATTGTCGGCAACATCCGAATCGCCTACGTCGCCGACGATGCCAATTCCCAAAAGCTCCGGTTCGAAGGAGTTTTTGCCTCCTAGAGCACCGGTGCCCTCGTCGTCTCCGTCTGTCCGTCCCAGAAGCACGAGTATGGCACAAGTTGTTAGTCCACCGCAGGTGGCACCTTTCAAGCCATTTGCCACGCGGATGGAGAGTCCTGCCAGTTCGACAGGTGATTCCAGCAGTGGGCGTGCGCCTTTGACGCCCCGTGATGGCAGTGATGTGGGCAGTGACAATCGAACGAACGGGTCCTCGCAGCCTAAGGGGACTTGGGGTAGTGGCGTTAGTGGGTTGGGTATGAACGGGCCGCGAAGCAACTACGGCCGTCGCAGTGTGACCTTCAGTGTTGACGACGATGCGAAGATTAAATCCAATGGGAAGTCGACTTTCTCACCGCGCAAGGAGGAGCAGCGGCGTAATGAGCGCCGTCGCACCGAGGCGAAGGCTGCCATTGAGGTGCGTCGAACGTTGCACGTATATGGTGATTTCATCTTGCCTAACTGTTTATCTTCTTTTAGTTGGGCAATGTCATTAATGGGCCTGGTCCAGTGGTCAGTGATGACAACGACCATCCTACGGTGCCTTCTTTCGATCCTCGGATGAGCATGGTGAATCCTATGATGTCTATGAATATGGGCATGGGTTTCCCGGCGACAAGTGGCACCGGTGGATGGGGCATGTGGCCGCCAGGCCAAATGTACTCCCCTAGCAATGTCATGATGCCACCTCCGACTGATCCTGCGATGATGGCTGCTCACCAGCAGGCGATGATGTATGCAAAACAGGCGTACCAGATGATGGTCGCCCAGCAAGCCATGGTTGCTGCCGGTGAGGAGTGGGAGCGCGGCTCTGCGTACGGTGGAGGGGGCAGCGTATATGGCGGAAGCGTCTATGGTGGTGGGTCTCCGCCTGCTATCCCCCAATACAACATGCGTATGAGCATGGCAGGCGGCATGTGGGGTACTCCCGGTATGTTTCCTGGTGGTGCAGGAATGCGCACGGGTATGTACGCGCAGAGCGAGGTCGCCGGTCCGTCTTCCAGCCGAAACAACAATCGGAGTTCGTCGAGGTCAGAGATTGGTGGGCCAACCATCCGCAGTGCTCTCAAGACGGGACAAGCAAAGACAGGACCATCTGGTTATGTCTCGCGGGAGTCCGGGTATGCCCCTCCCGTGCCTAGTATGCCCGCCTCCTCTTCTACCAATCTGCCTGCCACTACTCGACCACGCACCACCAGCCAGCCAGGCGTGAGCCCAGGACCCCATGGCGTTGCCCGTCGGGCGCCTCCGCCTTCGAGTTGGAAACGACGATGATTTTGCATCGATTTCCTTACTTTTGAACTTATCTTCCTTCATTTGTTTATTACTGGTGTCGCGATATCACGTACCCTTTCTGTTTTGTCAAGTAATTGGAACATTCCATGTTCATGGACATGTGGTAGGCCACGTTGTTTGTCTTGCCATCTGCTCCCGTCCTCGTCTCAGTCCTTACTAGAACAGTATCCATCTTTTTTTTTCTTCCAAACGCATATCTCTCCCTCTGGGCATTTTGAGGTTTAGTTTCCCTTTTTTTTCTACTCCATCGTTTCATCGTATTCATACAGGCTTCTGTGCACCAGCCTCCCCTTTCATTGAAAGAGAGGACCACATTTTTTCTCGTCATCCTGCAGCTTTTACTATACGTATCACACGAACTTGACAATTATCTACACGCATCCGTCAAGGCAGTTTGGCTTTCCCCACCTACTCATTTACTACTGTAGTTTTACCAATGCCAAGTTTTACCGTTTTTGCTTTGTTTTTCTCACCATGGCACGGATGAGTGTAGGCATTGTATTACTTTGGGCATTTTGTAGCTGCGACAGCTAGCTATAACGCCATCATCCCCATCGTGAACAAATGCTGGGCATAGAAAACTGGAAGGTAGGAACGTGGACAATTCTGAGTATCCGCGTCTACGTAAACGTACTCAAGAAGGCTGGTTTGGGCTTGGCCTGGTGTCCGGCTCCACAAGTGGATTCTCCTTCCTTGCTTGCTGAAGAAGCGAGTCAAGACCGGCCTCTACGACGGCTTTCTACACAACAATCAGTCGGCGAACGTATTCACAAACAATGGAAACGGCTGCTGCAACACTTGGAAACACACACACACACCTGCACGCATTGTCTGTACTCCTTCCAGACCTTGCCGCATTTCTGCTGAAACTCCTCCGCCTTCTTTTTCGAAAATTGGGCTCGGTCAGCCTCTGTTGCGGAATCGTTGCCGAGAGTAGCTATAGCAGGCTCGAGGTAGCCTTCGAACCAGGAGTTAAAGCAGTTGTCATAGTCCTGCTTCAAGGGTGTGCATTTCTCAGAGAGGCTAGATGCCATGATAGTTTCCGAGCAATGCTGGACGACGATGACAGACGGACGTTCCTGCACAATTGCAGACTGAGTATGTAGTCGCCGAAGTACGAATTGCCGAGAGGCTGCGTCAGGATGGATGTACGCGATCACATGACACCAACCAAATGTGTACCTCCTAGCTGTTAAATCTATAACAGCCGACCATAGCTCAGCTGGAAGAGCATCAGACTGTAATGGATATATTGCCATCTGGGTGTCGCCTGTTCGAGCCAGGCTGGTCGGAATATTATGAATAAATCCATTTTCTTTTTCTCAGGGCGTGTGAAGATGCTACAGTGTCAATTGTTCATAGGATCATCTTACTGCATGGACAATGGGTGGCATCAACCGCAGAAAAAAAAGCTTTTTTTTCCTTTCTCGTGCAACTGCACCCACATGCCTATGACAAGTAGCCTTGAACGTTTCGTGGTTGCGTACTTTTATCTAGTTTGTCACGCACCACATAGAAATGGTCACACCTCCCATCCTGTCATTGTTTGCTTTCCACGTCAAGTCATGATTTCCACCCTGCCAGGGTTGATTCTGAACGTTGAACGTTGAACGTTGAACGTTGAACGGTGAGCAGAAATACATTCTCGGACCTTGGTCGGTCGCCGTATCACCGCCATCACCCCGCACGCTGATCCCCGGTCTCCATCGATGCCGGCCTTGTGGTTGGACCGTGTGTGGCGTCGGATCCCCCTTCGTCCTGCTTCACATCAGATCATTAAGAGCAATGTGCCTTTGGACAGCTGGATAGCTGAGGCCACCTGAATTAAAGCATTTTCACCTCTTTGTCTTCTCGTTCCCGCGGCATTTCCCCCCTCACCCTCAGCTCATTCGCGCCATGATCCATTGTTCATTAACTAGTTGAGAGGACTTGACGGTGGAATGGACTGGTGCAAATTTCTTCCTCGTCTGGATTGGCCATTTTCAATCCCGGCCCCCTAGGCGGAAAGTCGCCTTTTTATTTGTCCATAGTAATCGTGGCAAACCACAATTGTTCAAGTCCTCGCGGGATTGCTGCAACGATGAAATGTAATTTGGTTATATTACTCACATGATTCCTGCAGTCCGGTCAAGTTAGCACCAACATCGCCATTCCTGCCAACGCTTTCTCCAACGAGGGTTCATACAAAACCCAGCTCAATTACACAGCTGGCCTCTCAGAGTTGCTTGCGGTGTTTCTGCACTCATGTCTATGGCGAATTCGATTTCAACGTGCAACACGACACATTCTCAGGAGTTTTATTCTTCTCTGATGGATGATCTCAAGGAATGCGAGTGAACTTGAAGACCGGGCTTTCGAGACTAATCATCCGTCCTGCTAACGATCACGGCTTGAAGATCCTACCCTGTTACACTTACAGGTGATTTTGGGGCGCCATCGATACATCGGTCGAAATTGATATCTAATTTAGATGATGATGCAACGTTTCCGGCATATTTCTACGTAAGTATATTTCCCCAGATGGAGCAGCGTTTTCAATTTTCTCAAATTTCAAACTCGTTTATCTTCGCCTTGCATATAAACAGAGATTTATATCAGCATGACTGACTCTGCCGGTGCGTATCGAAAGCGCCGTCTCATTTTCCGAGACCTGACTGCATGGGTGATCAGGACACTGGAGGTACATCCGACGTATGTTGCTCTTCCTACACCTATTCCAACTCTCGACCTTCATGATGTGACGCGCCTTCCTCCTCATGTAACAGATGAAAGTTGTCGCCAATAGCCAGGATATACGTGCCTCGGTCCCGGTACATCTTCTACAGCGCAGCCCACAACGATCACCGCCACGACATCTTCGCATCCGTCTTCAGCTGTATCCTCATCTTTGCCTGCATCCCATACTCCGGCTCCATCATCATCATCTACCTCAGCCGTACCGATCGCTGGTCTAACTGTAGCCTGTGCCGTCGTTGTGCTGGCTCTTCTGGGCGCATTTCTGCTATGGTCCGGCGTCGGAACCGGGAGTCGCACGTCATCGACCTCACCCAGAATAGTCCGAAAGATGAGCGCACCGCTATTCTGAGGCGGAGCAGCTCCCAGATCACGTACTCGCTCCGTTTCCGCTTTGCGAACCGTCTCTTGGCGTCATGCCGCAACGACGCCTTCACTGTTTTCATATGCCTCGCCCACCCATCATGGACATCGAGTCATCGCCGGTGCGTTCCATATCCGTGGGCGTCGACACAACTGTCTCGTCCAAATATTCTGGCGGGTACTCTAAGATGGCGCATAATATGTCGTCCGGGTCTGCGAGCCGCTGGCTCGTCGTACATCAGGGCATCCAAAACACGGCAGGAGGTGAGGACAAGCCCAGTCGATCTCCCGCCAGCCTACTCCACCAGTCGCGCGCCCATCCATACCGGACTCTCGCTTACACGTAGGCGAGGGATGCGTCCAACCGCATCCGTCAACGGCGTGGCTGAGCGCTAACGACGAGGAACGAGCGATTTGTGATAGATATTTGGCCTACCGACTTTCCGCCTGGCCGATTCTGTTGTCGTTGGGATGTCCGCGTCGGCTGGCGTCGCTCAGGCGTTATCATCGACCAGCAACTCGGAAACCCGTGAACCTGACAAAGGGCGGGCGCCGACTTCAGTTTGAGCGGTCGTCCTCTCGGGCTTCCGGTCAAGAGACAGAGTAACTTCATGGACTAATGACTTTCTGAGACGCGAGGTGAATCCTGATCGGGCCCTAAAATTGTATGTCTCCTGTGCCAGGCCTGTTGGCTGGGTGTGCATTAGGATAATCAACAGGCATTGCTTTAAGTACTTATCACTCTGTTCTTCTGTATAAGGCTTTTTTTCTTCACTGAGTTTTTGGGATGAGTGAGGTCCACATTGCACATATTGCATCTACAGTATCTACTTCAGTTGTATGCATATTCAAACTCTTTACTTATGATATGTGACTTCTCAAACACCTTGCGCAGGTTTACTTTTTTTTTAAAAGGTAACACTTATTCGAGGCACATTGTTGTGGTCGCTAGAACGCGACAAGCTCAAGAAAAGAAGAGGAAGACAGTCAAACAGTACGCCTACTTGCTCAGTATGTTAGGATTACAATTACGGAGACGGCGGTGATTTCACATGAAGTCCATAGAGAAGGCGTGGACAAGAATAGGCAAGGGGAGCAAAGCGGCATCCAGGCAACCGTGTATGATACGATAAGTAGACAGCAACCAGGCCAACACAGAAGAACAACAGTATAATAGTGACGAGCCAAAAGGTGTTAGAAAACAACAATAAAAAAGATATATGATCTATAATAATGTACACTTTCGAAGACTCCATAGTTGCAGATAGTTCCCATTCAGCATTGCGCGCCGAACTGCTGTTGCGGGGGCAGCTTAAATATGGAAGGCTGTGGTGGCACGGAGAAGATGGAGAGCTGAGGACCAGCTAAAGGAGCGCCGTTGCTCGTGGCGGGAGTGGGTTCGGCCGCCATTGTGTCGCGACCCGCAGGGAGAACTGCATCGTTTATGTTCGATTTCGCAAAGGCAGAGATCATGGCATCAGCATCTTTGCGACGACGATGACGGCGACGACGGTCGTCCTTTATAGTGCGTTCGATGCGTCGCCGAGCTTTGGAGTGCAAGCGCGGGTCAGCGATGGCCTGTCGGCATTTGTAGCAGGCGAGTTCGATGCTGGCCAGCAGGCGTAGGGTTTCATTGTTATTCAAAGCCTGGCAATGTCAAAGAAGGCGTTAGCGCGACCGACGCAGTGCACGGAGAAGAAATGATAGTATGATCGCGTGTGAAACATATCGCACCGCACTAAGAGACAAGCAATGGTGTTTCGGTCGCCACAAAGGTGTGTACCCTGACACCTGTGGCAGGGTCTTCGATAAACACTCACATTTAAAGACCAGGACACTACACGTAAGTCTTCCGACACACACCCAACAACCACAAAGTTGCCCCGGCGTTCTGCTTGAAGGTCGCAAGCCTAATGCAATCTCGTGACCGATTATATCCCGGGTAAGAACAGCGCCACTCACCTCACTGAAGCTCGTAATGACCTTACCCGTTGACAAAGACTTGACAACTGTAACGGCGCTCAGAAGACGTACACACTCACTGCGAACTGGGGTACTGATAAGGTGAGGACGGACGTACCAACTCGAGAGGACTGGCCAGAAATGGGCTCTTGCGAAACGACGGCCTTGCCCAGGTAACACCAGTTGTCTCGTTCCGGCCGACGGACGTGCTGAAAGCGCTGCATGGGAAAAACAGTCGAGAGGGATGGAGGTGAGACATGACCGACCACTTTGACTTGGATGTCCCGCAGATCGCGCATTGGCGGTGCGCCGCGATGCGAAACTACAACTACAGTCTGATGAGCCGAACCAGGTGCAGTGAAGCACAATGCAACAGTACCTGATCTAGAATTGTCGTTTCGACTAAGTGCGCCAAAAGCTTGACCGTCGTGCGATGACTGGAGAGGAAGTGTGGGCACTGCAATGGGACCCGGCGCCAAATCGACCTGCATACTGTCGTCCATGGTGTACTATTCACGCTTTTGAAGTATACAAACAAGGCTGAAGGGAAAGTACAGCCCGAGAAAGTTATGGTAAGAAAACAACAGTCGGGCAACTGTCACTATGATGGTGGTGGCGGTCAGGATCAAGAACAGTGACTGACTTTTCAAGAACACTCGGTCACGTGTCAATGCAAACTGATCGTCTCTGCACGCGTCTGCCAGTCGCATCACAAAGAAAACAGAACGACTGCCGAGCAACACAAAGAAAACTGCATTCATGGCGTCCCAAGTTCCCGCCAAAAGTGGAGACTCGATATATATTTACAAACCATATATAAGACAACCGTTCATGACACTTCATTCTGTCTTTGTGTCGGCTGCATTCGAGTAGATCGACGCCTTCTCGCCCATTCTTTTCAGCGCCTGGAGCTCACTTGCCGCCAGCTTTTTGTCCACTGCCGCTTGTACCTCCAATTTCGCAACCCGCTTCATAATCTTGAGCTGCTCCGCCACGCCCTGCAGTACGCCGAGCATTTCCATGTTGCCGTCCACAAATCCGAACTCGGCATACACCAGCCCGCGCTCTTTAGCGAATTCCTTCACGAGCTTGCTCGCTTCGCCGAGATTGTGACGCGGAAGACGGGGGAACAGGTGGTGCGTCACCTGCAGGTGCAGGCCGCCGTGTATCCAGCCAAGATCTGGCCTGCAAATAACATCCGACGTCGTGCGCATTTGTCGGGCAGGGAACGATTC